CTTAAAGAATCAGTAAATATCATATGTGTCCCCTTAAGAAATCTCTTTAACAGGTCAATTAGATCTGGGTTATTCCCATCTGAATGGAAGTTTGCTAACGTCACCCCTTTGCATAAAAAAATAACAAGTCTATATTAACTAATTACAGACCTATATCACTGCTATCGATCGTTGGTAAATTAATGGAAAAATGTGTCTTCAAATATGTCTACAATTTCTTGCACACTCACTCCCTCCTATCCCCCCATCAATCTGGGTTTAGGCACGGTGACTCACCATCAAATCAACTTCTTGCGATCATTCATGATATATATTTAGCCTTAGACAATGGTAAGGAAATACGTATGGTCTTCTGTGATATTAGCAAAGCTTTCGATCGAGTTTGGCATAAAGGCCTTCTTTGTAAATTATCCAGCTATGGGATTCGAAATTCGCTATTAGTTTGGTTTGAAAATTATCTTTCCGATCGAAAGCAGAGAGTTGTCATCAATGGTAAAAATTCAAATTGGTTAAATGTTAAGGCTGGTGTTCCACAGGGCTCAATTCTTGGACCTCTTTTATTTTTGATATATATAAATGACATTGTTAAAGATATACAAGCTAAAATAAAGTTATTCGCTGATGACACCTCTCTTTACGTAACCGTTGATATTCCTAGAGTCAGCGCAGATATTCTTAATAGTGACCTTAATAAGTTTCATAACTGGTCGCAAAGATGGTTAGTAAATTTTAACCCATCCAAAACAGAAACCCTGCTCATTAGTAGAAAAACCATTAAACCGTTTCATCCTCCCTTAAATATGAACAATACTAACATCTCTGAAGTTGCTACACACAAGCATTTAGGTATTTTTCTCTCTGGAAATGGTCATTGGAATGAACACATCAGTTATTTGATATCTAAGATTTCACCTAAAATAAATATCTTACGTAAATTTAAATTCTCTTTGGACAGGTATAGTCTCCAAACTATGTACTACACTCTTATTCGACCTATATTAGACTATGGCGATATCTTATGGGACTGCCTTACTAAAGCTCAATCTGAATTATTAGAAAATCTTCAATTAGAAGCAGCACGCATAGTCACTGGCGGCACTAGACTCACAAGTAGAATTAAACTGTATACTGAAACAGGTTGGCTTCCCCTTGAGGAAAGACGTAAACAGCACAAGCTTATTCTTTTCCACAAAATGGTTCATGGTCTGGCTCCTCAATATCTTCTCGATATTCTACCTCAGCGTAACCGTAATTACCACAACCATGATACTCGCACGGGAAATAATTTTCGTCCACTAGTTAGTCATACGAGTCTCTATAATAAATCCTTTTTGCCATCTGCCATCAGTATCTGGAACTCCTTGCCTGACTATGTCAAGAACGACCCTTCAATCTATAAACTTAAAACCTATCTACGCAAGCCCTCTAACAAAATTAAAAATTTCTACTTTAATGGTACCAGACTTGGGCAGATACATCATGCTAGATTAAGAATGGAGTGTAGTTCCCTTAAGTTTTATCTATACCAGAGAAATCTAATTGATAGTCCTCTGTGTTCTTGCATGCAAGCAAATGAAACCAATGAACATTATCTATTACATTGTTGTCTTTTTTCTCAACTACGGTTGCATACATTTAACGAAATCAATCATCCACTCTCAACTGATTTACTTTTGTTCGGGAATAATGAGCTTACAGATGACGAAAATGCCTTAAATTTTTCATCTGTACAAAACGTCATCATCCATTCTGAAAGATTTGACTAAGTTCTATTCATTATACAACGATCCTTTGTTTCACATCACCTATTTCTTCTCCTTCTATTCTTTTTGGCACGGGCATCTATACCCCCACCCCCCCCTCCCCCTGTACCCCTTTTCTTTTACTCTCATTTCAAATATCCCTTGAACTATGTTTAAAAGTTAGCTACTGTTTTAAGTGTTTATATTGCTTTCCATAGAATTCAGTAACTATGCCATCATGCCTTAAATTAATGAGATAAATTCTCGGAAAACGGATTTATATAAGTTATTTCAACTTGTTTCCGGATCCCATTCCTCTGTACTTTGTATGTTATGTGATGTAATGCAACTTAATTTGGAATGAAATAAAGTTTATATTAAATAGGATTATTTTCAAATCAGTCGATACCACACTAAAAACAAGAACAAGTCTTATCAAATAGACTTTTCCTATTTCGTATGCAACTCTGTTTGAATTTTTGAGGATAAATAACTGCTATATAATATAATACTATTTTTACAAAATGTATTCATTTGTAAAATTATGTTCACCGTCAATCGAATGCTTCGAAATGTTTAGAGATATTAGTATTAACCATTTAAGTTTTGCTTTCTGTAGCTTTCACCATTGGTGAACTAAAGATAGTTATGGCTAATCGAAATCCCGCAAAAACTCATAACAAAAACTCTAAGTAACGTATTTCAACAGTATGTAAATGTAAAACCGTGCGTAGAGTGATTTATATTTATAGATAAACATTGTTATAAATTGGCTTTGCATGCATTAAACGTGTGATATAGTAAGTACCATCGATTATGTTTATAGCATGTCAAGTTTATTTATGGCAACATTCGTGTAATACCAAGTGACACTTTATATATAGTTCATGTTCATTTATGTTTTGTGTGTATTGTTTCTACTATATGACAAGTCAAAACGAATCTCACTTTACCTCTATTACAGCGAATGACTAGAGCACGATTATATTAGTATCGTGAGTAACTATCGTGAATGGTATTGATGTTTCATCGTATAAGGCGTACTAGGATGTTTTCATTTCCAAGTGTATAGAATACCGAGTAATTCTTGCCGAAGTATTATGCACTCCAATTAATGCTGATTTAGTTAATTCGTCTTTTTAATTCTGTTTAATCAATTTAATATTATTGCGAAAGACTTGTGTCATATGCAACGATAAACTTCGTTCATGATAGGTATTTAACATATTTGATAAGACATTTTATGTCGATACAAGCAATCATAAAACTTGTAGTGATGCAAAACTTTGATAGAATTGTTTCCTTATGCAAATGTAGAAAGGTGTCAGAGATGTCCCTATCAACGCATACATTGTCGTCATAATGCATATACATATTAATTTAATTCCAGTTTAATCACATCAAGTAATTAGCTTACCAGGCACTAAAATAGATTGATGCATGCATGTGTAAAGAGGAAGAGCGGGTCAGTAGCTATATGTGATGTTTTTGATGTGAGGAAGTGACATGACTTGGATTTGACCTAAATTCATATGTTTGGTGTTGTCGATAAAGCAGAAGATGCCTACTCTTCCAGAACACATGGACTTATTCTCATTGTACTTTTCCGTGAAAATCATTCCTTTGTTCATATTTTGCCATAGTTTATCGATTTTGAGCTAGGATTATGGTTTTGTTGACACTCCGGTATTCTTTTGTTGTTTTCTTGCCTGCGTATCCTGATCTATATATAGATAAGGGGGATAGGGGGAGTGTAATAAAGAAATACTATCCTATGACAGATATTAAATTTGATATACCTTTGTCGTTAGCAAAATAAGCACGTTCAGCTATGTCACGTTATCAGAGTTGACCAATCGATATAAACAATTGAGTAAAGGGAAGTTCAGGTATAGTATTGAGTGTGAGTTATTGATGAGCTGGAGAGCTACCGGGTATGAGACCCCAAACGTAGTTTCGCACTGGGAGCTAGATAGTAGATACACTAAACTCAGGTCTTCACAGGGATATTACGGTATTTATAAAAAAAAAAAGCAGCGACACTAATTTACACAATGCAAAACATTATTCAAGATTGAAGTACTCCCATTTGCTCATCAAACGAAGGTTCGCGTATTTCTGTTGTAGACCTGATGGAAATGATTAAAATGTCTACTTGGGCATCTGAATTTGGAGTGTTCTTTGTCGATATTCTTGTTTAGTCAAGTTATAAAATATATATAAAGTTTCATCCTCATGACGTGTTTAAATATGGAATTTCGTTATATTTTTACGCAGTTCTAATGATGAGAAACACGACTACATTCGTATTGGTGTAAGTATTTCTTTGGGATGTATCACTGCATCAGTATGTTTTATACATTTTATTGAGTCAAATGAGGATTGACTAGGGTAGAAATACTGAGGTTCTCCCACAATATTTGCCTCCAAGAACATCCGGCGCCATATAAACAGAAAGGTATTTTCCCTGTAACAACAGTGAAGGTTTAAATACAAGAAGAGAGCAGTGATGATGAACATAAACAAAGAGGGTATGTATCGGTTAAAAAAAAGACATCTTACTTTAACTAGGCAAAAGGAAAAGAAACATTGATTTTTTTGTTCGTTTGCAAATAATACGTTTATAAATTTATACTCAATAGAGGTTGTTTTAATAAGTGAGCGAATTTAGATGACTTTATATGATAAAATAATGATGTCCCTCACCACCACCGAATTCAGTATATGTCCCTGTTATTGTGTTTTTTTGTAACTCTAAAACGATCATATTTAAATGAAAGGTTTTTAGTATATGAAGCATTACCATCGCCATCACCGAACACAGTATGTGTCACTGTTTTGACATGTTTTGTAACTCTAAAGCGATTATATTATATAATCAATTGAAAGCGCCTGAATTACAGAGAACGCTAAACTGACGTTGTATATTACGATTATAATACATAATGTATGTTATATGATATTCTTACACATATCCAGGCTCAAATCAACATAAATGAAGCTGGATTAAATTGATATGACGCGTCTACGTATTGAGTGCAAACATATACCTGGATAAACGTTGATTTAACATACATTACCTGTATTTTTCTTATCAAACTGTATCGATATGTGAACACATTTGTTTGCCGCTACGCGGAAAGCCTAGCCACACTGAAACTAAATAGCTAGTTTCTGATTGGCTGTCTGTGGTCCAGAAATAGACAAGGTATATAAAATGCGATAATCTCATTCCTCACTTTCATTTTAATACAACACTCTGTAGTGGAAGTACTATACTAAATTTAATACTCATCATGGTTACTGCAAGTAAACCTGTTAGTTGTACTCTCGTTGGCGATGGAATGGTTGGGAAGACATCTATCGCTCTCAGTTTTATCGGAAAACAGGCGGAAGAAAATTATGTGGCTACAGTATTCGAAAACTATGCAGGTAATAATCGTGACACTGATATAAAAGTTAAGGGTTTGCGTGTTGTCAAAGCACGAAGTTGGTGTGGGTACATGTGCCCAGGCGGGGTTTCAATATGTATCGATGAGTTTAAATTCTTTAAATGTATAATTCTTTCATATGCATGTTCATTAGGTATGTTCAATTGTCGAAATATTAATGTATATTTGTGTTAATCAAACTATGATATTTTCTTGTTTTGAAAATCTCTATAATATCTAATATCAGTACTACTCTGTAATAGAACATGACTTTTATAACAATTTAGTGTATAACTGATATCGAATTAAGTGTCAAAGGTAATATATGTTTATTAGGACACTAGTTATGTTTCCTGTGGTAACTGTGACACCTAGGATTTGTTTTATTATATAAGCAATGTTTAAACAAGTTCTTAAATTGTGATGCTATTAAAATATAGACAATTTAAATCCTCTGTTATATAAATAAGCTGTTACAGCCATTACGTGTGTTTTATATAAATTATGGAATGATATTTTATATCCGTTAACATTATGCTTGCTTTGTTTTTTCAGGAGGCACCTCAGTTGCCGGCGAGCAATATACTGTCAGCATCTACGATCCTGCTGGCCAGGTAAGCATCTTCACACATAAGTGATTAACATTAATATATATGTATCTTTATATAATAAATAAAAAAATTAATCTTGTTAATCACAGGTATAGAATTCGTAATTTCTCTTCTTTATGGTTTAAGTATACAAACAAAATAAATACGAAAGTGCGAAAGTGTAAAATGTATTTCAAAGCATAACAGGTTTTAAAAGAAATATATAAGGGAAAAACTTATTTTCGTCAAAGTTGGCCTAAAAACACAATTTTATTAAATCTTTTATATCGATAAATCAATGACTTTGTAATAGAAAATTGGTTACATTATTAAAAAAAAATATTTTTAGGTGTCAATTACTTGGAAAGATAACCAGAGTTAGGATAAACATATATTATCAGTGTCACTTATTTACGCTGGTCATATGATCATACATAGCACGTGGTCATCACAAGTTTATATTTTATTATCATAAACATGGTGATAATAGTATCAGTTCGGCCTTGGTAACCTCACAAATACTGAACGTTAAATTCATTACGTTTTTATAATCACTTCAAAATATGTATACCATAAGTAATAACGACAGTATGGTCCAATAAAGGAACTAGACTAGATCCAAAAAAAATTGTTGAATGCGTATTAGTTTATGTAACTAAATTACTAATTTGAAAAGTTGCTCTCTTATCAAATCATTGAACCTATCGTGAAAGAGGACTTTAATGTTGTATATACATATATTTATTCATATAACATATCTCTACTTCAAACTTAACAAATATGACTAATACAAATCACATTACCTTTTCTAAAGCACTTGAAACTAATTATAAAACTTTTGGTTTTTTTCAGCATGACTATGCCAGTATGAGAGTCTGCACTTACACAGACTGTGAGGTGATTCTCATGTGCTACAACGTAAGCGATCGAGACTCATTTGACAGCATCGCCTCATTTTGGCTACCGGAAATAAGGAAATTTAGGGGCACCAAATCTACAGTCATTCTAGTAGCCACACAGACGGATACCCGGAATCCGGATTCCGACTCGTCAGTTAGTACAGAAGAAGGAGAGAAGTTGGCAAGGGAAATAAACGCTGGGGGATATATGGAAACTACTACCCAAAATTACGATAGTGTTAAAACTGTTTTCGAGAAGGTAGTCACGTGTGCTTTAAAATGCAGAAAGAAGAAAAACACACTCTTCAAAAAGATCTTTCGTCGTTAAACTATCGGATATGAGGATATGAAGAACATTAAAACAATAGCAGCTATCCAGATGATTGGGAAAAGACAGAAGAAAAAATGAACAAAAATGTCGTTCCAAGACCTGTAGGACTTTCTTCATGTTTTGATGAATAGTTCGTCAAATGGACTTAACGAGAACGATACATGGGTGTTTTAAACTTTTGAAAGAAAAGTCCCAGATTGTTTTAGATGACAACGAAATAAACCTGTGATGATCATTTGTAATAATAAGTACGATTCATGTCAGTGCATATAGTTTAAATAACTATAAAAACCCATTAGCATAATTTGCGAATCGGAATATGTGATAATAATTTTGTATTTTCTTATCTCTATTTATTAATGACGATGTCGAATTTGAAATCATATTGATGACATATTCCGGCCAAATGAACTTCTGTATTATACGTGAGACAGTGCTGACAATCCAGTATTTTTTTTATATACGTTTACAGTATTGACAATGATGATATTTATCTGATTGATTTTGTTACAAGGAGTATGTGCAATATTTGTTAAAAGTTTATTGTTTACATGTACATAGCTGCTGGCCAGCACAACTAGTAAAGTCAATAAAACATTGAATTTGGAATTCTTTGTCTTTGTGTTTTCCTTCCGAAATGTACCCAACAAGATCACACCTATGAATTGAGACTGTATGTAAGGAGTAAACACCAATTACTATATTAACATTAATGCTTTTTCCTCTACGTGTTTTATGAAATGGTCATGATAACACGTCACCAATGAGAGGTAAAGGTAGAAACGATACATAGTATTCACTACACGCATATATACAATTCTTCTGTAGCCTTCTGGATGGTCATATTTTGTCAACAGATACTTTGACGTTATGAAAACACATTTGGCAATCCATTGACGGAGATGTTATGAATTGTTCAAAAAAATGGTAAGATGGGATGATACTGAAATATGTTGGCGGTAAGCGAGTGGGCAAATGAAACGAGGGTAAATCAAATGTATATCGAAGATGATATCGAAAAAAATAATATCTAACGACCGACTAAAAAACTAGCTGCTTTCACCCTTCACATGTCTTTTCATATTTATTTAAAAAGAAGAACAACTTCGTGACGTCAAAATTACATGTCATCACACTACAATAGTAACGTGACATGAAGAAGTACACAAGATTGGTGGACAAAACTAGTGGCAAACTTTTACTGTGGCCTGTTGAGACTTGGTTTTAATATTTTGATTAATTGGTATTCTTTCTTTTCTTTTAGAATAGTGTGTGATGAAAATAATGTATACAAAGGTAATAAATAGAGGATATTTAACGGTGTCTTCAGTAAAAACAAATATATTTCACGAGTGTGGCTAATATTTTGATATTGAAAAATATCAAAATATTAGCCACACAAACGTCTTCTTTGCGTTGTTATGTATGGTAGGATATATCATTAAATATGTGCATTGGCGGGTTTGTTGTCACTACCCGGGTTCTCGATGTGAGGACGTGATATTACTTGGATTTGACCTTGATTTACGTGGCGGGTGTCGTTGTTGAAGCAGAAGACGCTTACCCTCTAGGAACACCTGGTCTTATTCTCCCTGCTTCCTTTTTACAAGCGGCTCCATGTTAATATTATTTTTGTTTATCCAAGTTTTCTCGATTTTGAGTTCGAATAATTGTGTTGTTGACACTTTGGTATTATCCTGTTGTTTTTACAAACATGATTTATAATACAACATATCATAAGTATAAGCTATTAAATGATAAACGTTTGACAAACACATGTGATTATACCTATACAATTTGGTAATTTATACAGAACGCCAAAAAGGATATACACTGTCCCATACAATATTGTTTTTGTTTTTGTATGACTCATTTGGTGATGCCAGGAACTAAATGGATGGAAATCAAAATTGGTATAAACTAACAGATTGCATGTATACAGTTATGATGTACATGGTTGACATTGATCCTGGAATTTTGTTTTTTATTTCGTAAGAATTCCTTCAATTATCGCATACTCAATGAGTCTCCATGGGAGATAAAAAAAAAAAAAAATGCCAGCAGCAGGTATTGACAAAGGCAGCGAAGGAACAAGCTTGTGGTGATAATAACACGAGACAATAACACGAAAACAATAACACGAGACAATAACACGAAAACAATAGCACAATACAATAACACGAAAACAATAATTAAAGACAATCAGAGACACAGACTCTTCTACTTCAGTCGCCTTCCTTGATCTTTACTTACAACATGACCAACAGGGACGGCTTACTACTAAACTATACGATAAGTAGAACGACTTCGACTTCCCGATTGTGAACTTTCCCTTTCTTTATAGTAACAGACGTGTATCCCCCTATTTACGGTGCTATTATGTCGCAGTTGATTCGGTTCTCAAGAGCTTGCTCCGAGAATCTTGACTTCCGTGAAAGATGTATATGCAATGCCTTGTGGTTTTGTTGTCTCTGCCCGATGTGAGGACGTGACATTACTTGAATTGACCTAGATTTACATGGCGGATATGTCGTCGATGAATCTGAAGATTCTTACACTTTCTGGAACACCTGATTTTATTCTCATTGCATTTTTTTAATTGTCTCCATTTAAATCTTTCTGTTTTAATATTTTGCAAGAGTTTTATCGATTTTGAGTTTGAATTTTGTTTTTGTTGACACTTTGGTATTGTTTTTATTGTAGGGGAGGCCGGCCGGGATACATGGCAGAGCACGTTTTGTTTTTGTCCTGCATCTAATGAATCTGTTAATATTTTTCATCATTCATGTTTGATTGAACATAACATCAAAGTCAGTATTGCCTACGTGTTGGTCAATGCATAAAGTATAGTGACAAGAAAGACAACTCGAGCTTTATTTCATATGACTATAATGCCATTCATTGAGAAGGCAAATGTTGTTGTTTAATGTTTAAAATGCATATTTGTTTTTACATTTATTAGGGTATGCAACACAGTTCCGTTCAAACATATTCTCCAAGATTCGCGTTCTCGCATCTTGGAGAATATGTTTGAACGGAACTGTGTTTCATACCCACGTAAATGTTAAAAAAATGCATTTCAATCTTATAAAATTAAGAAGAAGTAGTTTTTTTTCACGTAAAATACAAAAACGCCGTGTGAATAACCAGTGATGTATTTAAGTTACAAAAAGTTAGTCCGTGTTCGCGAAGGTAGCTGACCGATAAGCAACGGCTGTGCAGCGGCTAAGATCATCAGGTGATCAGGTCACGATGCGGTTGGAATGTAAACGAGCTGGGTGAATTGAAATTGAAAGAGGTGTTGGCTGTATTATTGTAACGACAGTATGTGACAACGGGACTAGCTCAGTGTTCGAACATACCAACAGACAGTGCATTGAGTGTTAGCAGTGGGATATTGCTGAAGCGCACTGCCAATAGATCATGATCATAAGACTGTTAACTTTATGGGCTGATCATGCACATGTATATATTACCTGTAAATAGAAAAACATACAGTTACAATTTAAATTATGTATTGATTTCTGATTTCTGTACACAATGTATCTGAGTATTACCGTAACACGAATCTCATCTCTGAAATCTCATTTGGACCTTACGTAGGTTAAGTTCATGGAATTGGAAATTAAATGAGTTTTCTTCCGAAAGCAAAATTTGATATAAATTCCATGAACTTAACTTCTACTTAGGGTTCAATTGCCCGACCCGGGGTTTTCCCCACCCAGTTGAAGTATGAGAATTCGTGTTACAGACTCTGAAGACTGAATCACGTGATTACTGACGTCATCTAAATTGAACCCTAAGTAGAAGTTAAGTTCATGGAATCTATATCAAATTTCGCTTTTGGAAACAAACTCATTTAATTTCCAGTTATGTTACATTGGGGCGCCATGTTGGATTGTAACAGAGTATTCCAGTCTAACAACAAAACAGACTCGTTTCTTCTTTCTAATGGTTCGTTATATACAGAAAGGGAGCCTACAACATACAATATATAGACTTAGACATTTGACAGGAACACAGGAAATATACAGTAGAAATAGCTACGGTCTATACTGACAATGGGCAACAATTATTGTATATTACATGATGTAAGTTACACAAAGACATAGACAAATACTTACCAGGGCTGTTATGCATATGAACAGCTCTGTCCGAGCGATGAGTGAAGAGTGAGTTAGGACTGGGGAGTTGGATGATACGTGCAGGGAAGTGGACGAAAGGTCCGTGCAATACACTCATCTAATGAAAACCTCTCACTCACGATGACGTTTACGTAGACATTAGTGCATTCATGTATGTACCAACTACACAAAGGTTACTTTAACATCGCCTGTATATGCCGTGGCATGGAGACAGTGAGCTGTGAATTTTTTTCAGCACCCTTATTTTATTAAACAGTGTGATTTCTTGTTGATCAATTCATAGTGGTTAACACAGTTTAAAAACAGTTGTGATAAACTAGGGGACACGGCAGTCTAGTGGTAGGACGCCGGACTCACGACCGAAGGGTTGCGGGTTCGAGTCACGGCACTGTGTTGTATCTTTGAGCAAGATACTTTGCTCTGCTTGTTCCAATCTACTCAGCTGTAAATGAGTACGTGGTTTGGCAGTGCTAGAATTGGTGAACGCTTGATGTTTTATTTTTATAACACATATAGGGTTTGAATGGATTTTTTTCAAATACATTAAAGCGCTCCTCAGAAGATATGGAGATCAGCTACTGCTATTCATTGCCGCAATGTACATGGAAAAATCCATTCAATTCATATATTTTCATTACGGTGAACTACAATAAAAAAAAGTTACAACACTTTTTGTAAATTTATCATTTTTGATACTAGCATCGGACAGAACTCCAGCCTACACACAAACTTCAAAAGTTGAACTTCCGCCGATCAGCTGATTATCTAGAATCTGATAACAACCAACACTTGATATTACTTTCATTTCGGTTACGGAAATGACCGAGTGGTAACGATTGCATAGTAACCATCCAGCACACCTGTGCTGTTTACCAAAAACACCTGCTGATGTAAATGATGATAAATCGATGGATGAAGTGTGCTGTGCCATTACAAAGTTCTCAGGGTAAACTGTCACGGAGTTTACCCAACCGGACGTTTGGGTGTTAGAAAGTAGGTCTTGACCACGAGGAACCGATTGCGAGTCGGAAGTCAGTATTTAATATGACAATGGTATAAATATGTTTTTTTTAAATTTTAAATAAAAAATAATAATAATAGTACAATGGTGCACCATTTATGATTTTTGTAATGCTTATTATTATTTCTCGCTACTACGTTATCTCGGAGAAGGCGAGATAACTCTTCTCAGAAACGGTTTTATGCACAATAATATAATTTGTAATTGTGTGTGAAATTAGCTGACAGGTTGCACGATAATCGTTGTATTTATAGTTTATTCATGGTCAAATGGCAGTTGTTTTCACTTGGTAGATTCATGTACAGAACAAACATCAAGAATGTAAATAGAAGACTATATAGTCTAACCATTCTACCATTATAGAGGGCGGAGCTCTCTCACGGGCCCGAAGGGCCCGTGAGAGCGAAGCTCATCCTATAGGTAACACGTATGTAAGA